TGTGAATCCCTGGAGCGGGTTGGGGAGGAGGTGGGCCCCTGTGGGTGTGTACTGGGAAAGCATTCTGGCTAAGAGTATGGGAAGGTCTGCAGCTGTTAATTTAAACTTGTATTGCTGCCTCCCTCCCCCCACCTCCCTGCGATAGTTGTTTAGTAAATTTGTTTGTGAATTAGGTGGATGTGTTGGGAGGTGGGGAATGTGAATTACTGGAAGAGGAGGTGAATGCATCTTTGTCCTGAGCGGGGCATCCTCTGTCTTACCAGATGTCTGATCCAGCGTCTCCTGCCCCTCATCCACTGCCCAGACTCTGCTGTTCGAAGGATGGGGGTGGTAGGCACGCTGAGGAACTGCTGCTTTGAGCACCGTGAGTAGCTCAGAGGTTTAAAGTGAATCAAGGGAGGAGAAGGAGGGGAAAAGGGGGGAATCAGGGTCCCTCATACGATCCCCATTCCTCTAGGTTCCCATGAGTGGCTCCTGGGTCCCCAAGTAGAGCTGCTTACCTTTCTGCTGATGCCACTGGCTGGCCCAGAGGAGTTCTCAGAAGATGAGATGGATCGTGAGCAGGGCTGGTGGTGGCAGTGGGGATGGGAGGGGGTGTTTCTGGGGACTTTGTTAGAGCCCTGAGGATCCTACAGTGTTAGAACTAGGAGTCCTTAACCACACTTGAGTATCCCCAAAGAGGTTTGGAGCAGCTGGGTGGCACAATAGATGTAACTCTTGGCCTGGAGTCAGGAAGACCCGAGTTCAAATCCAGCCTCTGATACTAATTGAGTGATCGTGGGCAAGTCACTTACCCCTGTTTACCTCAGTTTCCTCATCTGTAAAATGGAGATAATAACAGCACCTACCTCACAGGGTTGTTCTGACAGTCAAATGAAATATTTGTAAAGTGCTTAGAACAGTGCCTGGCACATATTTACCACTGTGGTTTCCTCCTACCTCCCAGAAAAAAGAGGACACGTACAAATACATATGGAATAAATATAAAATGAACAAATACACATATGTGCAAAGTTAAATATAAGATGATTTTGGAAGTACAGCACTAGTAATTATGGGGGATCAAGAAAGGCTTCATGCAGAAGGAAGAGGGAAAGACCCAGAGAAGGGAAGGGACTTGCCCTAGGTTCTTAAGTGAGCCAAGGTCAGAGGCTGGACTGGAATCTTGGTGTCCTGGCTATTGGCCAGGCCCATTGTGTCCTTGACATGGGAGACTTGGGGTGCATCCAGAAAGTCAGATCCATGGCCTCCCCAGGATTGCCAGTAGACCTGCAGTACCTACCCCCAGACAAGGAGCGTGAGCCAGATCCTGACATCCGAAAGATGCTCATTGAGGCCATTATGCTGGTGAGTGGGGGCAAGTCCTAGGGGCCCCAGGGATCTGCCTGAATCCTTCCCCCTTCCCCTGCCTGGTAAGACTGAATCCCCTAACTTCCCTGCTTCCCTATAGCTCACAGCCACTGCTCCTGGACGGAAGCTGGTGAAGGATCAAGGGGCTTACCTGGTGCTTAGGGAGCTGCATAGCTGGGAACATGACCCTAATGTCCAGCTGGCCTGTGAGAAACTCATTCAGGTAAATGGGAGGGACGGGGATGATCTAAGAGCTCATCCTCATCTCTGGAGGCTTTTGTGTGTTTCCCTACCTTCCCCTTACTCCCTACCCGCAAGTCAGTAAGGTTTGAGTGTTCTACCCCATGGTAATGCTTTCTCCCTTCTAAGTTCTTTAATCAGGTCTGAACCTCTTAGAGCAGGCCTGTACAACGTACTTCCTGTTGTTGTATGTTGTGCAGGCCTGTTTTACATCTTCTGCATTTTTTGAGGGCTGCCCCAAATCCTTTGGTGGGCCACAAGTAGCACATGGGCCGTAAGCAGTGTGTGGGCCATATGTTGTGCAGGCTTGTCTTAGAGCAACCAGTCAGTAAGTATCTGTTAGGCCCCTACTGTGTGCCAGGCATTGTGCTGGGCTCTGTGTGTTCAATGACTAAAATGAAACAGTCCTTACTTGTGAGGATCTTAGAGTCCAATGGGAAAGACAACAAGGACACATACAAATACATATGGAATAAATATAAAATGAATAAATGCACATATGTGCAAAGTTAAATATAAGATGATTTTGGAAGTATGGCACTAGTAGTTATGGGGATCCAAAAAGGCTTCATGCAGAAGGAAGTGCTTAAGCTTTGATTTGAGGGTTCTTTGAGGCAAAGGTGAGGAAGGAGTTCTTTCCAATTGTGGGGGAGACAGCCAGTGCGAAAGCACATTGGGAGATGAAATGGAGGAGCAGGGAGAGGAGTCTCCAATAAGACTAGAAAGATGGGTTGGCACTAGGTTGCCTGAAGAGTTTTAAAAGCTCCAGAGCTCCTAGAGGTAATAGGGAGCCACTGGAGTTTATTGACAGAGGAGTGATGTGGTCAGTTCTTAAGTACTTAAAGAAAACTACTTTGGCAGCTACTTGTAGGATAGACTGGAGTGGTAGGAGACTTGAGGCTGGGAGACTAATTAGGAGCTTGTTGCAATAATCAGGGAGAGTCTGAACATAAGTGATAGCTTTGTGAGGGGAGAAAGGGGGAGTGATGCAAAACAGTGTAAAGGTAGAAATGGCAGAATTTGGCATCTCGTTCAGTACATGAGGTGAAGAATAATGAGATATCAAAGAGGTTGACCTTGGAGACTGGATGGTGGTGCCTTTTATAGAAATAGTGAAGTCTGAAAGCGGGAAAGGTTTGGAAGGAAAGATAATAAGTTCGGTTTTGGATGTGTTTCAGGGACATCCATTTTAAAATGTCCAGTTGGCCATGCGGAATGAAATTCAGGGGAGAGATGGGGATATGGAAATGTAGACGCTGGATTTGTACATCTGTGAGTCATTTTCATGGAGATGATGATTAAGTTCTTGGGAATTCATGAAGTTCCCAAGGGAGAGAGTGTAGAGAAGAGGACCTTAGGGAATGTTCACAGTTAGGGGGCATGATATGTAGGATGAGCCCCCAAAGGAGACTGAGAAGGAGAGGTCAGACAAGAGAGTGATGTCATGAAAACCCAGAAAGGCGAGTGTCCAGGAGGAGAGGGCAGAGGAGAGTGTCAGATGCAGCAGAGGTCAAGGTTGAGGAATGAGAAGAGATCATCAGATTTGCCAGTTACAAGGTTGTTGGTAACTTTAAAGAGAGCAGTGTCAATTGAATGAAGAGCTTAGAAGCCAGATTGCAAAGAGTTGAAGAGTGAAATGAGAGCAGAAGCAGCAAGTGTAGACAGCTTTTTCTAGGAATTTGGTTGACAAAGGGAGGAGAGACATGACATCCTCTGAGAGGATGGTAGGGTCCAGTGAAGGGTTATTTTTTTTGGAGGGGGAGAGAACTGGGCATGTTTGAAGGCAGTAGGGAAGGATCCAGGAGAATGGGAGAGGTTAAGAGAGATAGATCTGCTGAAGAATATGGGAGGGGATGGAAATGGGACCAAGGGCATAGCTGTGGTAGAGGAGTTGGTCTTGGCAAGGAGAAGAGCCCCTTCATTGTCAGAGACTTGGGGGACGGAAGATAGAATGGGGAAGGATGTCAATTGCTTTTGAGATGAAGAGAAGGGGAGAAGAGGGAGCTTACATGAAATGGTCTCAGATTTTCTTAGTAAAGTAAGAGGCGAGGTCTGCAGCTGAAAGGGGAGAAAGTGGACTTGTGGAAAGCTTGAAAAGAGGGAAGAGAAAGTTTGGAACAAGTTCTGCGGGGAGATAGGGAATCAGTGAGGGAGGAATAAAAGTCCTGCCTTGTTACAGTGTGGGCCCAGCTGAGTTTGAATAACATGAATTTGTAAAGTACTTCGTCCTGAACCCATGAGATCCCCTTTTTCCTGTGCCTGGGCAGGTGCTGATTGGGGATGAGCCAGAGGCAGGCATGGATAACCTGCTAGAAGTGAGTGTCCCTCCAGATGTAGAGCAGAGGTTGCAGCAACTGGACCAGCAGGAGCAGCAGCAGCTTCAGCAGGAGCGAGAAGAGGCAGTGCAGACCCCTAGCAGGCTGGATGGCTTGGGACCTAGCTGATGTCTTCTCCCCAGACTAGGGGCTCTGCACCCTTCCCATCCCCTCTTGTCCCTTGACCACAGGGATCTTGTGACTGATAGATACACTTGAGCTTGGTGTCCAGTCTGCTAGGCTGCTGTGCTCGATAAATCAGCCTTCACTTCAGTCTTTCTTTCCTTGGATGGGCAAAGCCTGGATTCTGTCAGACTCTCCCTACTGCCTCTGCCTCCCCACTTCAACTTGAGAATCTGGTAAAGTAACTCCTTCCCCAAGCCAGGTGTTAGGAATGAACTGTGAACACTCCTGGGGTGCTTACAGTTTGAGGTGTCTTGGGTGGGTGGTTAAAAATTTAGTCCCCTGGAATGAAGCTGTTATAGTGCACCTTCAGGCACAAGACCATTGGCTAGGCCTGCCTCAGAGGCATCCCATTCTTTTGGAGAGTTCTTTGAGTTGGAAAGTTTTCCTTACCAGAAGCTGGAATTTGCCTCTCTGTACCTTCTCACTATGCCTAACTTGTCCCTCATTCTGGGGCCAAGCAGAGCAAGGCTTTTTTGACATTCCTTTGAATATTGAAAGACAGTTCTAATGTCATCATTGCTGCTGTTGTCTTCCTCCTCCCCACCTGGTTTCTTTCACCAGTTCCTATGTCATGGTCTCCAGACCTTTCACTATCCTGGTGGACCTTCTCTTCAAGGGTCTCTGTTCATTAATGTCCTTTGTAAAACGTGGTGCTCAAATCTGAACACCAAAGGTGGTCAAAGTAGAGGAGTAGACAATAGGGCCATCACCTCCCTAGTCCTGGACACTGGGCCTTTATCAATACAGCATTCCATGTCACACTATTGATTTATATTCCCAAATCTTTACATACATTGTTGGCTTAAATCCATGCTTCTTCCTCCTCCCTCCTCCCTCCTTTGTGGTTGATTTTTTTGAGCCCAAGACTAGGAGTTTACATTTATTCCTATTAAATGTCATGTTGATTCAGTTCATTCTTCCAGCCTTTTCAAATCCCTGTCAGCCACATCATCATCATCATCTCTAAGTCGGATCGACATTGCTTCTATGACTTCATCTAGATCATTGGTTAAAAATGTAGAACAGCATAAACTGAGAACGTGAGCTTTCCCACAGTGACCATGATCCCATTAGTCACTGCTCTTGATCTGGTTGTTCTACTGGTTTGAATCTCCCTACCTATGCTATTGTCCACCTCAGGTTTGTCCATAAAGATAACGTGAAAGACTTTGTGAAGTGTTTTCCTGAAATCCAGGCATAATTCGGGGGGTCTCAGAAGTTTTCATGCAGTTTTAAACTTAGTACAGCGTTAGGTAGCTTAAAACTGCATGAAGATTTTCGGGATCCCTGTACTATGTCCTTACCTTCCCCTGACTTACCAGTCCAGTAATCCTATTGAAAATGGAAATGAGGTTAGTCCTATACAGCCTTTTCTGGGTGAACCCGTGCTAGTTCTTGGTGCTCACTACTTTTCTCTCAAGTGCCTACAAAATGAGGTGTTATTAGAATTAATAGGAGAAAATCACTTCTAGCTGAGAACTTTGTGGAAGGCTTCATGGGAAGGAGGGCTGTTGTGGTTTGGGGAGGTCATCTAGGCAGCCTTTGGTGTTCATTTCTACTACTCTCTGATTCTCTGAGGAGGTTGCATGTAAGCTGGGCCTATTAGATTAGATTAGAGCCTTCCCTAAGTTAGAGGGAGACTGCCTCTCCTTTCCCTTCCATTGTCCCCCCAGTTCCTGGTCCAGGGCAGGGCACACAGAACTCCATGTGCTGCTTCCCACCAGCCCTCCCCAGAGACATCTCCAGCAGCTCTGACAGAATAAATACTTTATCTAGTCCCTGTCCCCACTCCCCTTACCCAATCCAACCCCTTCCCTCAATTGACCAGGCGGTGCAGTGGGGCTTTCCGAATCACAGACATGGAGTAGAGGGACAGAATCTGTTGGGAAGCACTGGGTCCAGCTAGGCTGCCCCCTGAAGGGCCCCGGGATCCCATTCCTCCCCATGATGGCAAATTCCCAGTCTTGTGGAAATTAGGCTTCAGGCTGGCCAGTATGCTAGGCCGACCTATTGATGGAGGGCAAGTGGGTGGGGATACAGGGCCAGGACCTGGACCTGGACCCAAAGTCTGTGCCAACTGAGGAGATGGCAGCTGGAAGAGGGAACTGGGTGGCCGGATCAGGGCCGGTGCTGACAGCTCGCACGTTGGGGCCTGCTCAGGGCTGGCCTCAGAAGGCCCCTCAAGCATCCTTATGGTTGCAGGGGTCAGGGCTCCTGCTTCATGGTCCTGTGGTTCAGATCCCTCCAATTCCTCTATAACACAGAGTGGAAGTGAGGGGTCCTCTTGGGTGACGGGGTCAAGGTGAAGGAGGGGGGGGCCTAGGAAAGAATTTGGCTTTTGGGAGGAGGAGCCACAGGAATAGAGGCAGCTCAGGAGTTCTGGCTTAGAGGGGAAGGGGGCATCTGCTATGGGCAGAGGGGTGTTCTGGCTCTGGGCTCAGGAAGTGAGGGTGTGGGAGAAGTTACCTGATGCCAGATTACTCTTCAGGGCTTTCTCCTCAGTCCCTGGCATTGCATTGAGCACATTGTGGAACAGGGCATGGGATGCAGGCAGCATCCAGCAGTGGGAAGCCACCTGCTGCAGGCCCAGCCGGGCTCTTGGCCGCAATTGAAGCAGACCCTGGATCAGGTCCTGGCACTCTGGGTGGGGAGTCCGGGGAGAGGGAAATGTGGACCGGAGAATGTTAGGGTGGGGGCATCACGCCTTTGGCAGGATTGACTCCCCTTCTCCCCCTGTCCTCCCCACTCCCACACCACCATCATACTGTGGCCAGTCCACACATTCCTGTGGACCTCCTCCTGTCCCCAGCTCCCTGCCTCCAACCTGGGTGGGCAAGAAGGGGAGGATTTATGAGCTAGAAGGGACATTAGAGCTTTCTCTTAATTCAGCTCCCTTACTTTACTGAGGAAAACAGGTCTAGAAGAGAGGAGCATCTTGCCCCGAGTCACAAAGCTACCAAGTGGCCAAGACAGGATTTAAACTAAGTCCCCTCTCTCTGAATTCATTAAAGCCAGGTTACCTTGGGACAGGCTGGGCCAGAAGGCCAGGCTCTGGCGCATGAGGTGCAGCATTTTATGGGGTTGTCTCTCCTTGAAGGGCAGCTTCCCTGTCACCATGGCGTAGAGGATCACACCACTGCACAAGGGACAGACCTGTCGTCACCATTGTCCCAAGCCCCCTATTTTTACAAAGAGCTTTTCTTGAAACAACCCTGTGAGGTAGGTAGTTGGAGCAGCAGTGCCCCTAATTACAGAGGGGAAATGTGAAACTGGGGAAAGCCCAGGGCTCTGATGCTCAAGGGCACACAGCTGGTGAGCCGGGGCCTGGAGGAGAACTTGGGGGGCAGGGCCCTCTGCTTCCACACCCACTTTGGCCTTACTGATTTACAAAGGGTTTTCCTCACTGGGGTGACATAGTCTTGCAAGTATTTTACCAAGGTGCAGACAAGGTCAGTCACTTGCCCAAGGTCACACCACTAGGGTTGGAGCCAAGATTTGAACCCAGGGTGTCTGAGTGGGCCAGATGACTTCTAAGATCCAGTCCTGAGTCTGTGGTCCTATGAATGGGTTCTTTCTACTTCATCCTTCCCCTCATCTCCCTCAGTCCTACTAGGGCCACTTCCCTGCCCCTTCCTGGGCCTTACTCTCCAGCCATGCCCCCACCCCCACCCCAAGCCATAGAGGTTATTCTGTTCTTTGTTGAAAGGCCTTGCTCCTTACATTGTTTCCACTGAGTTTCTTGCCGTGTTGGCTACTGTTTTTTCCCCTGGAGCTCATTCTCCTGCACTCTTAATTCCTCCAAGACTCACAGTCCTATTTTTGGCGAGACATGCTTCCCTGTTCCCTGTCCATTTCCCAGGGATCCCTGTGACTTTGGAGGTTTACTCCCCTGCTCCTTGCCATTCTCCCCCGGAGCTGCCTGTGATCTTGGGGCTCTCCTGCCCTGGGGCCCCCACTGCTTTGTCACTCACAGGCTCCACAGGTCGGCCTGTTCACCATTGTACTTCTTGCTCATGAGGATCTCAGGGGCTGTGTAGGCCACAGAGCCACAGAATGTGCTCAGTAGAGAATTCTTCACTGCGGTCCGATTAGCAAAGCCAAAGTCTGATGGGGGGAGAGGCAGAGAGGAGGGTTTGGTGAAGATGACTCTATACAATGAGGACAGCTCAGGGATGAGAATTAGGAACAGAAGAGAGGCTGAAGAGGGGCTGCTTCAAGGGGAGACAAATCTTTGACCTTCGTCCCCAACATTTGTCTACTGTGTCAGAGGTTCTTTACCTTTTTGTGTCCTAGGCCTCCTTGTTAATCTGTCAAGGCCCAGGCAGCCCTTGTCCGAATATGTTTTTAAATTCATAAAATAAAATACAAAGGAAACCAATTATATTGAAGTAGTTTTCAAAATATTTCAGAAAGCTTGTTCATGGGCCCCGGATTAAGAACCTCGGGTGTATGGCAAGGTCAAGCTCAGTGAACCTGGATGACAATCAGTAATGTTACGTGGAGACATGGGAGTTTTAACCTCTGTCAAAGAGTGTCACCGGAACTCAGCCTGGACGGGGCCTCCTAGGCCATCTCCACTCAACCTCTGTCTGAAAGACAAGTCCCTCCCTAACAATTGGTCATCCAGTCTTTGCTTGAAGACATCCAGAAGTGAGTAACCTCCAGAGGTTACTTTTCATTACATTCCACTTTTGGCTAGCCTGTGCTTTATATTATGACAGAATCCAGAGGGGAGAAGTTGTCTCCAAAGGGGAGAGGGAGGTGATTCTGGCAGGGATAGAAGAGCCTGGGTGGATGGGGGCTGTCTTGAAAAGGCTGGGACAGGAGGAGGGTCTTACCAGTCAGCTTCACAAACCCTCGATCATCCAGCAGAATGTTCTCACACTTGAGATCCCTGCCAGGACAAAGAGGAAGGGAGATGGAGGCCAGGGTAAAGTCGGGAGTTGGGTGGGGCTGAGAGTCAGAGGCCAGGGTCAATTAGGAGGGTTGGGCCTAAGACCCAAGTATCAGATCTGATGGAGGATAGAGAGTGATATTTGAGCAGCTAGGTGGTGCCGTAGTGCATAGGGTGGCAAACCTGGGGTAGGAAGACTAATCTCTGAGTTCAAATCCAGCCTCAGACATGTGCTGGCTGTGTGGCCCTGAACGAATCACTTAACCCTGTTTGCCTCAGTTTCCTCATCTGTAAAATGGCAAACCACTCCAGTATCCTTGCCAAGAAAACTCCAAATCGAGTCACAAAATGTTGGATGTGAGCAAACAACAACAAAGAGTGGTGTCAGGGCTGGGGCACAGAATGGGGTGGGATCTGGGGTCAAGATCTTCCACTTCTGTGCTCTGGTCAGTCCTCTGACCAAGTCCCTGGGGACTTGGGCCTGCCAATTAGCTCCTCTCGTCTTCCATCTTTCCCTGAACAATGTCTCCTTCCCCAACATATAAAATTGCCAGTGTAATCTTCTCAAGGCACACTTCTAACCATATTGCCCTCAAACCTTCTATTACTCCCTATTGCCTGTAGGATAAAGGATAAACTTCTCCATTTAGCAGCTGCCCTCAGGATTGTTGTGAGGAGTTGAGAGCTTAGCAAAGTGCCCGCATGTGGCAGGCACTTACTGTGTGCGGGTACTGTGCTAAGTGATTTACAATTATTATCTCATTTGATCTTAACAACACTGGGAAGTAGGTGCTCTGTTACTCCCATTTCGCAGATGAGGAAACTGAGGCAAATGGGTTAAGTGACTTAATCAGGGTCACACAGCTACTAAGTGTCTGAGGTCAGATTTGAACTCAGGTCTTCCTGACTCCAAGCCAAGACTCCCTTTTCCCTATCTCTCTCTTCCTCCCATTTAAAGCCTTCCACAATCTTGCTCTAACTCATCTTTTCCCCTTATTTCATAAACCTCATCTTCTTATGCTCTGTGTTCCAGCCAAAATAGGCCATGAGCTTAACATTCCATCAGACATTGTCCTGCACTCAAATAAGCTGTCTCTCTTCCTCCTGCACTCCACCTTTTTGAATCCTTAGCTTCATCAAGGCCCATCTCAGACACCATCTCCTCCAGGAAGCCTTTCCTGATTTCCCCTCTACCCTCCTACATTACTTTGTGCTCCTTGAATGCTTTGTATTTACTTATCTGTATACATGGAGGATCCTCACCACAGGACACTGTAAGATCCTTGACCAGAGATTATTTTGTTTTTATCTTTGAAATTCTTAGCACCTAGCATAGTGTCTAGCACATAGGTGAGCTCTTAAACGTTGTGGACTTGAGGGCTGTGGCAGAATCTGGGCTTAAGGCAAAGGGTAGACTCTGGGGCAGAGTGAGGTCAGTATTGAAGATGACCAGGATGCTAAAGCTCCTTGGGCTGGGAGAGGGTCTGGAGGGAGGGAAGCCATGGTCTGGGGCTGAGATGGGACTGACTCTGGAGTCCAGGTTGGTACATATAGCCAGGGTAAGAGTGTGTGTTGGGGTGGGGTAAAGCTGAGGGCAGCTCTCTGGGGCTCCCTCACCGATGAACAATGCCCACGTTGTGGCAGTGGGCCACAGCACTGACGAGCTGGCGGAAGAGCCTTCTGGCCTCCTCCTCCTCCAGCCCAGGGCAGCAGCGCCGATCCGATGTGGCATTGATGTGCTCCAGCAGGTCTCCACGGGATGCAAGCTCCAGAACAAGGTATGAGCGCTGGCTGTTCCGGTATGTCTCATAAAGCTGAATCTGTTCCCCAGGGGATATCCATCCTCCTTAGCCCCACCCTGGGCATACTTCTAGGAGGCAGGGCTTAACTTGGGCCAGACAGAGAGACTGAGGGGGGTTAGCCCAAACCCCGAGTGTTAGAGGAGCTGGGGTGGATTGGAGAGAGGAAGTGGCTGGTCAGGTCTGAGCAGGGGCCCTTAGGGGCGGAAGTGAAGATGTGGTGGCTTCCCAAGAGCTGGACCCCTGGGAGATGGGAAATCAGTGTGAAAGGGAGCACAGTCCCTCCTCCCATCCCTGTGCCCCATCCCTAGCTCACCACATTGAGATGTTTGTAGGTGGCATTGAGTGAGTAGATCTCTCGGGGAAGGAACTTCCGGGAGTACTCTAAGGGGGCTTCGGCTGTAGATATTATCTTAATGGCCACCTGTTGGGGGAGGGGGTGGAATAAAGGAAAATGTATAGAATAGGTCTGGTCTGGTCTGCCATCCTGAGATCAGCAAGCTCTCAGGGAAGAGCGTTCTTAGTGTCCTCAGTCTGTACTGTAGTGCCTGGCCCAGAGTGAGTACTTAATAGATGTTTGTTGATGACTGATAAGGGGGAGAGACAGGAGCTGCGCTTGTGGAACCTTGTACCCTCCATCCTCTTCCTAGTCTTGCTTTCAGGGGCTGTCTGAGACAGGTAGAACCCGCTTTCCTCTTGACGACCTTCAGATATTTAAAGGTGGCTATCATGGCCCCTAAGCCTTCTCTTTCCCACGTTAAACACCCCTAGGTCACAGGATTTAGAGGTAAAAGGAACCTTAGAGATCGAAACCCCTCATTTTACAGATAAAGAAACGAGAGGCCTGGAGAGAGAGTTGGAAAGAGTTGCCCAAAGAAACACAGGAATAGTAATAAAGGCAGAATTCAAAAGTGGTCCTTATCCACCCAAGTCCAGTGTTCTTTCCACTCTAGCCTGCTGCCTTTCTCCTCCTAGGCAACTAGGTGATGCTGAGGATAGAGAGCTGGGACTGGAATCAGGAAGGCCTGAGTTCAAATGCAGCCTCATATACTTATTAGCTCTGTGACCCTGAGCAAGTCAGTTACTCTTCATCTGCCTCATCTGTAAAATGGGGATCATAGCATCTACCATACAGAGATTGCTTTGTAAACCTTACAAGGCTATGTAAATACTAGCTACCACTTATTCTGTCTAATGCTTTCCTCCATCTAGAAAACCCTTCCCATGTTTTAAGACAATTACCATGTCCCTCTTAAACCTTCCCATCTTCAGGCTAAGTCAAATATAGTTCCTTCAGCTAATCTACATATGACATAGTTTCCAGTCCCCCGCCATCTTGGTCGCTCAATTCTGAATATTCTCTGCTTTGTCCAGTGTTCTTTGTATAATGTGGTTTCCAGATGAGACATGTTGCCTCAGATGGCACCTGAGCAAGCAGAGTGAGACTCACCTCACTCTCTTAAGACAGCTTAGTTTTCAAGTCTAAATGTCCTGTATTATTGTCATCTGTTAGCCCACTTCTAGGCACCCGGTAGCCCCAGAGTAAAATAGTGGCTAAATGGACTTGAGTAGTATATAGGTGGGGCAGCTAGGTGGCGCCATAGTGTACAGAGAGCTGGGCCTGGAGTCAGGAAGACTGATCCTGAGTTTGGCCTCCAGGTACTCACTAGCAGTGTGACCCTGGGCAAGTCACTTAACCCTATTTGCCTCAGTTTCCTCATGTGTAAAATGAGCTGGGGGAGGAATAGGCAAACCACTCCAGTATCTTTGCCAAGAAAATCCCAGATAGGAAAAGTCACAGCTGAACAAGAATGTAGGGACATGATTGCTGCCTTTAAGTGTCGGAAGGTTTGTCCTACAGAAGAGGAATCAGACTGGGTCTGCTTGGTCTAAGGAGGACTGAAGTACAAGAAATGATTGGGTGAAAATTGCAGAGAAGCAGACCACCCTGCTGAAGGAAAAAAAGGCCCACTTAAATTAGTGGGTCCCCTAGTACTAGAGGACTTCAAGTGGAGGCTGGATGTTGTTGAGAAAGTGATAAAGGGTATTCCTGCTCAGTTTGAAGGAGATAGCCCATGAGATGGCCTTCCCTTCCTGTTCTGGAGATTCTGTGAGAAGAGTCAAGCCCCGATGGAAGCCTCGGCTGGGTTTATAGATGGTGCTGCCCTTCTTACCCGCTCCCATGGCCCTTCATTCTATGTCATCCCACACTCCCTGGCCCCCAGCCACTCACCATGGTGTGGCGCTTGGCTCGCAGGTCAGAGGACAGCTTGTAGTTCTGACGCATTCTCTCATGAGTGGCATAGCCCAGGTAGACTTTGGAGAAAGCTCCTGAGCCGATCTTCTTGGAGGACAGCAGGTAGCCGTTGTCCCGGCACTCCCGCACCTGATCCATGAATGCCCGCCGGTTTGAATCTCGCTTAGTGCTACTCTTCATGATGTGGCTAGAGGTCCAGGGGAGGTGGGGCAGCTGGCAAGCTCACCTGGTCATGGAGAAAAACAGGGGCTGGGCAGCACGAACTCCTACAGAGAGACCAGGGTTCGAGCCAGTGCATATGCAGGAGGTTGGGGTGAGGGGAGGCAGGTGTGCCAGAGGTAGGTGCCGCCCCGGGCTCCCCACTGTGCTCAGGGGCAAGGACTAGGCATTTGCAGGCACTGAGTTCTCTGGTTGGGGAGGATGTGCTGCTGCGGTGTTGGACTCGGTATGGGGGGGATTCTAGAATAGAAGCTGACTTTGTAGTTCTGGAACCTGGGCTTGCATTGTCCTTTCCAGGCTGCTGCCCTCTCCTGTGTGCTTCTGTCCCTCACTCCTGCCAGACAAGATTGTCCGGAGGCGCTTCCTTCCCTATCCCGCACTGGCTCTCAGGTGTGACCCAGCCACCCAGAGTCACAGTCTCAGAGGTGGAAGGGACTTCAGTGGATTCCTGCTTAACAGGGATCTCCGAGAAGTGGTTATCCTGACTGCCTCTGCTTGAAGACCTCCAGAGATGAGGAACTCATCCCCCTTTGAGGCTGGCAATTTCACTTTTGGACAGCTCTGATGATCAAGAAGCTTTTCCTTTTATGGAGCCTCTCTGGAGCTTTCCCCCTTCCCTCTTTGTTCAATCAATTAAATTAGTCAATCAACAAGCATTTATTAAGCACCTACTATGTGCCAGTCACAATGCTAGCACGAGGAATAAAAAGACAAAAGTAAAACAGTCCCCTCAAGGAACTTCTGTTTTAATCACAGAGGTAGCAAGTATGCAGCCGGAAGGGACCTTAAAGGCCATAGAGTCCAACCTCCCATTTTACAGTTGAGTAAACTGAGACACAGAGAAGTTAAATGATTTGCCCTGAGTCACACAGCTAATATGTGTTTGAAGTGGGATTTAAATTCAGGTCTTCCTGACTCCAGATAATATATTGCTGCTCCTTGTATATATTCTGCATATACTTAGGATAATGTATTTTTATTTCTTGTATATATTGTGTATATGCCTTGGTATATACAGAACAAATACAAGGCATCTATAAGTATATGAGGCACATATAATTATATGTAGAATAAATATGAAGAGAACAAATAAAAGAGAAGGATGAAAGAACTGCATTAGCAGTTACGGGGATCAGGAGAGACTTTGTGTTGAAGATGGTACAAGTCTATTCCACTTTTCATATGAAAAACAGTTATCATATACCTTCCTTCCTCCCTGCCCCCCCCCATCTTGTGTTTCCTTCTCTAGACTAAACCTACCCAGTTCCTCAGAATTAGGGTTAGAGTTAGAATCATACCCGAATGGGTTAGTTCCTGATACTAGCTTCCAGTTTCCTCACCATTTTGGTCACCCTCTTTTGGACACAGTCCAGTTTGTCATAGGGTCATTGGTACAGAGCTACCAATTCTGATAGACAGTAATTTGGTGATTCCATAAATCCCTTTTCTTCAGTTCAAAAAAATCAATTCTATAAGTATAAGAAAGAGAGATATAGATAGAAGGATGGTGGTTTGTGTGAAAAAGATCTGGAGGTCTCTGAGCATTACACATTCAAAATGAGAGTGGGCTCCAGTAACGGTGGTATACTTCCCCAGTAGAATAATGATCAAAGGGTATGAACAGTTTCCAGAGAAACCCAAATTATCAAAAATCATATGAAAAAAAAATGCACCAAATAAAAGATTTAATTTCAAATTAAAGTAACATTGAGGTTTTACCTCATAGTCCTCAGTTTGAAAAAGACAACAATAAAGGAAAATGACACATAATTCAGGAGCTTTGGGGAAATAGATGTATTGACTCATTGTTGAAGCTATAAATAGGTCCAGCCATTCTGGAAAGCAATTTGGAACCAGGCCTCCAAAGTTACCAAACTTTGATCCAGAGAGAGCACCACTAGGCTTAGACTCCAAAGAGATCAAAGAAAGAGGAAAAGGACCCATATGTACAAAAATACTTATAGCAGCTCTTTTTGTAGTGGCAAAGAATTGGAAACTAAAAAGATGCCCATCGACTGGGAATGATGTGCAAATTATGGTATGAGTGTGATGGAATATTATTGAATGATAAGAAATGATGAAAGGGGAAGACTTGTGTGAACTGAAAGAGTGAAGTGAGCCGAACCAGGAAAAGAGTTTATATGAGAACATCAACATGGTAAGGGAAAAACAGGTTTGAAAGACTTAAGAACACTGATCAATGAGGGGGCAGCTAGGTGGTGCAGTGGATATAGATCACCGGCCCTGAAGTCAGGAGGACCTGAGTTCAAATCCAGCCTCAGACCAAACAATTGACACTTACTACCTGTGTGACCCTGGGCAAGTCACTTAACCCCAATTGCCTACAAAAAAAACCCCCAATAAAGAACACTGATCAATGAACTGACTGACTTTGGTTGGTATATTCCAGAATATCAATGATGAAGCAAGCATGCTGTTTACCTCCTGAGAGAGATGTGCTTTTCCTACCACCCAGTATTCCAGCTCCTGCCCTGGGAATGTGGGTTACTGATTTGTGAGAATTCTCCATATATACCCCAATGAAGACCTCCCAAGCTGCTATCTGACCATGCTGCTGGGTGCACATACCCTTACTGTGGGTGTTACTTCTCCCTTTCTACTTCTAGCTCTGGAAACAGTAATCAAATCAACACTACCATTCCTGGAGATAATGTGTCTATCAATCAATTGCCCAGTGGATCACTACCTATCTTGTTGACTTTCCAGACCAAAATACCCCTTCCTGGTCCCTATATGTGCTGTCTTCCAAAATTAGAATGTAAACTCCTTGAGGGAAGGTATTCTCTTGCTTTTTGTATTTGTATCCTTAGCAAAGTACCGGGAATATGGAAAATGCTGAATAAATATTCCTTCCTTCCCTCTTCCCTCCTTCTTCCCTGACTTCCTTCCTGTCCTTCATGCTTTCATGTCTTCCTGCCTTCTCACCATCCAAATCTTCAACTGCCCAAAATAATACCTGACATTTACAAGGTTTCAGAGCACTTTCTGTGTGTCACCTCTCTGGCAGAACAACTCTGTGAGGTACTAGAAATGCTATTATCCCCATTTTAAAATTAGGAAAACCGAGCCTCTAAAAAGTAAAGTGACTGTCTGTGGTCATACAGCTAGTAAGTATCCAGGGCAGGATTCAAACTCAGGTCTTTCTGAATCCAAGTCCAGCACCCAATTCAATATTCCATGCTGCCTTTCAAGACCCCATTTAAGTCCTAACTCAACCATGAAGTTTTCTCTGTCTTTCCAAGATGCAAGAAAGTATCATTTCTGGCAAGTTCTGTCTGTGCCACTAACCCATATCTCTCTTGTTTTCCTGTAGGCATCTCTTATTTCTTTTGGTTCAGCTTCTGAAGGACAAGGACTGTACCTCAGGCTTCTTTCTATCCCTTATGCTGTACATAGAGAGTGCTCACATGTTTGATCATTTTGTTAGGGTTTCAAGATTCAGTGAATTTCCTTCTCACTGTAACCCTTCCAAAGCAGCTTCAGCTGTTTCATGTTCACTTATCTTTCCGTGTGTGTGTGTGTGTGTGTGTGTGTGTGTGTGTGTGTGTGTGTGTTTTATCTTTAGATGCCAAAAATATATGGGTGGGGGGGGTAACTTCAAGGAAATAATGTCAAGGACAGGTGTCAGAGGTACTTGTCCTGGTTGCTCTCTCAGGGAAGGATTCTTATAAAAGGGACCAAGAGAGCTTTCTCTCTTGGGCTTCCAGGTGCATCTGGGATGCACTGAAAGGAAGGATGAGGGAATTTCCTGCGCTTAGCCCATATAAGTATTGTACAAGCAGATTTGCCTGGGTGCTGGCCAAGAGTTGACTGCAGTCCCTCTGGGAATAACGAGACAGTGTAACCTGAGCATGGTAATGTGGGCCTTTCCATACTCCTTCCACTTGTGGCCTTGAAAATGTTGAATGCTTGATGGTACTTATCCACCAAAAAAAAAAAAGCCCACTTTGAGACAAAACTATGAGACCAAAAGAGTCAAGGATACTGAAGAAAGGGTGGAAGGAGTTAGAAGTTCAAATCTGGAAACCAGCTCCCTGATGTTATGGTTCAAGGGCTGCCCTTTTTTAAGCCTATAGAAAGAGAATGTACTATCACTGAGCTAATTATCCATCGAAGGAGTATAGTATGTGAATTGCTCACAAGGTGGCACTCTATTTGAACCACCAGCCCAGCCTTGTAAGTTAACTACGACTCATACTGGAGACAGTCCTTTTCTTTCTTTCTTTTTTGGAGGCATCGGGGTTAAGTAATGTGCCTAGCTAATAAGTGTCTAAGGTCAGATTTGAACTCAGATCCTCCTGACTCCAGGGCCAGTGTTCTATTACCGCACCACCTAGATGCCCCAAGAGACTATGCTTTTCTAAGTGTCTATGGTATACCTGTTGGTCACTAAATGGCCCTCAAACTGGGAAAACAACAACAACAACAACAACAAAAACCCAAGTTGTCCCCTACCTCCAAAATCACATGGTAACAGGAGTGCTAAGCTCACTGGCTGGAACTAGGTGTGAAGTTAACCTACGAGATGAAGTGGAATCTTACTCATAATATTACATTATAAAATCTGCTATCTATACCTAGCCCAGAGCCCCTGCTCTGTATATTGATTCCTCCCTCCCAATTAATTTCCCTTTACATTTGTAGTTTCAGAGAATTAGCATGCTATGATCACATAGTTTATTGGTATATAGAAAGAAATGGAAAAGAAACCAAACCAAACACACCTATGTGGAGGCATTTGCCTCTAACCATTTCTTAGTTCTCCTGCCCATTGACCTCCTAGCTTTTTAAGTGTGGCTTGGAAGAATACTGACCATATACACGAGTAGCTTGTTGAAAAGGAATGAGGTGAGAGGGGTGTGCATTCCCTGTCTCAGACTAATGGACGAAGATGGAAAAGTGAGAAAGATGGCGTCTCTCCTAGTTCACTCACCCACAGACACACGACAGTCACGCCAGCTATCGTTGTTGTTTTGGGGTGGAGCTGTACAGTAGGAGCATTATCCTAAGCCCAACTAGTAGTTCAATTATTAGCATCTCGTTTTGTTCCAGTTTCAGACCTACACTACTAGGAGACATACTGACTGTGACCACAGACCTTATGGACCAAATTGAATTCAGCAACCCCTTTGGGAAGATCATGATGCTACAGCCTCTCAGCCCTGTCACTTACATTTTGGAGTAAGTATAAGTGTAAGTGTACGAGTGTAAGGCCCTTGGAACAAAGAACACTGTAAGAT